GAACGTACAGCGTCAAAAGCCCCAAATGTACGATTCAATGTGTGACTGACAGCGTTCTGCAATGTTTTATTCTCACCTCTACGACCTGACCAGCCTGAAGATCATGGTATCTGTAAAAAGGCTTGTCAATCACACTCCTGAAATCAAGACAAAAGAAAGCTGTTATTTAATACATCACATTAGAACAGAGAAGTTGATGCTTACTATGGAATAACTGGGGCGTCACATACTTTCGCAGACTAACGAAATAAATTTGGTCCATGGCGCTGAAGTCCAAGATCCTGCAGGTGTGCTCAGGCATGGCCAGCACTCTGTTTTCATTAGCGGACTCTTTCGACTCCTTCAGGTGGTTCCTCTGCCAGGGATACATTAAGTTATTACCTTGATATTTACAGAGAGTATTTCTAGCATTTATTCGTCTTGACAGTCAAAGCAGGTTTAAATATCTAAAGCATCACCCAGACTCACGTGTACAAAGGCCACCGTTTTGTCTGGCAGTTCCAACATGGCTCCAGACATGTGGTGCATTGTGGTCATCTTGCAGTCCTTCACCACCTCACCAATGCGATCACCTCCAGCGGGAAAAGTGTCAACTCTGGTCCCGGGCTGAAGAAGGTGGCTGCGCAGGCTCAGGCCAACCACACGGGTGGACGGATCCACGTACAGAACACAAGACCGCACCTGGATGGATTCATGCAAAACCTCATTTTGATATGGCGCATTTAAATCCAGAATATCAATTAAAATGACCAGATGAGACAGCTGAAAGCAGTGACAGACATTAAGTGACGTCTAGTATGAGACAAAAGGACCCAAGTGCCAGTTTTACCTCAGTTCCCTCTGTGTAGCTGGATGTCTTTTCTGGCTGCATGTGGAGAAAGTCCACCTGACCACTGAAGGAGGACAGGAAGTCCAGGATCAGACCGTGTTTGGTCACCTGCAATACCAACAAACAAAACATAACCACCACTGAAGTATGATCTGATCATTCTCAGCGAATGATCAGATCATAAAATATAACAAACAAATGCAACAGTTTTAGGCTGCCACATAACTTCTCCCCTTATCCATGGACAGAAAATGGACTCATTACCAAAATAAAAAGGTGTCTCTACCTTTTTGATCGTAGCTTTGACCTGAAGTCCAGGCAGGAGGTTTGTGAGGTTCCAGCCCTGCTCGGGTTCGGCACAAGCCTGGGCGACGGTTGGGGGGCTGACAGAAAGGCGGACCACACGCCCATCATTCTTTACTTCTTCCACTTGAGATGTCACGTACTGACCCACTTTCAGATCTGGGACACATGAGAACACACAGACGCATGAGAGATGTACTGACACTTATTTCTAATCTGTTAAAAAAACTGAGATTATTTCCTGGGTAATCTGAAACACTTCGTCATACCGTCCTGGCTGCTGGGTTTGTCTTTTACTGCTTTCTCAGGCAGGAAGGCTTTGGTTCCACTGATGCCAATGTCGACTATGTAGCCATGATCCTCCACGCTCTCCACACACCCACTCAAGACCTGAGTTGACACAAAATAGCATTACAATACACTGTTAGATAAAGAAAAAGGAAGCTGAGTGTTGACATTTGCTCACTAATGACTCACCATGCCAGCTTTCAGAGAGCTTGAGGTCAGAGCCTTGTTGACCACCTTTGGGTTGATTGACAGCTGGATGCTAAGAGAGCCACCTTTAGTCACATCCAGCTTGACAACCACACACCTGATCACCATGCCGGGGTAGAAGAGGTGAGGCAGAGAGCAGATTTCCTGTAAAGTAAACACACCTCTTAGATATCACAAAATATCCTGGTATGAATATACTCCCGGAAAAAAAAGGTTAATGAAAAACATTAGTCTGATGTAAGTTATCTAGACTCCACAAATCCAATAAAATCAACAAGACAAAGCTGACACAAATCTTAAAATACATAGACAGTGATGACAAATGGAATCCAGATTTTCAGTATAACAGCAAATGACCACAGAGACAGTGTGAACTTATGATCTTTATATCACAGATGATAGCACCCACTTTTATTACATCATCACTCCCAGGCCTACCTCTGCATCAGCTGAATCCAATTGCTTGCCGAGCAGCTTAGTGTATGCCTCACAGATGTTCTTGATGCTGAGGAAGCCCTGCATGCCACAGGGCAGGCTGACCGTCACCTCAAAGTCAAAGACCTCCTTGACACAGCCCAGCATCAACATACCTTCCTTCACATTCTGGGGAAATACAGAAAACACACACGTCAAGTCAGATACTGTGCTGAATATGCTTTGATTTACTGAGAACATTTAACAAAGTAAGCATGTGTTGGATCTTGTCAGATGTCTCACCTTGAGATGTAGGATTTCCACACACTTGGCAGCTGCATTCAGCGTCAGACCGTCTCCTTTGCCTGTCTTTGGTTTCTTGAGCTTCTTGCTGTCATCTTTAGGTGCCCCCTTTCTTTTCTTGGTTTCTACTTGTTCGTTTGACTGCATGGGAGAAGCAAGCTATCTTTAACTGTGCAGGACATTTTACTGATACCTTCTTAAGTGAGATTAAGTACAAAACACAAGCCAAACTTGGATAAAGAGGGTGTGAAAGGCAAGGGCTATGCAGATAGATTGAGAACAGCTAACTGGAAAGAACAACCTCTTAAGTCAAGTGTGATATTGTGATATTGCTCTTTCTATGGATATGTAACTTGTACACAGCTCTGTGAATTCAGGATTTATTCCAGATAATGTTTTTTTTCCACAGTAGGTTAGATACAGAAAGACAGAAAAGAGTGAAACCCTACCTGGAACAAGTTGTCCACCTCTGACCGCTGCACCACTATTTTACTCTCTGTGGGCTTCTTTGCTGACCCTCCTCGAGGGAAGTCCTCCTCCACTGATGCCATGTTTGATGTTGTTTCAGATGTCTAAATAAATAAAAGACACTGTCAGTTAACAGATCATTTCAAAACCTCTAACGTGAGCTGATGATATAAAAAGTAAGGTAAAGCTAAGTGACGAATGAGTGCAACCAAACATTAGATCCAGCCTGTGTCTGTCATATAACTTAAATGCATAAGTCTCAAATGTGAAAAGTATTACAGCATGAGAGCCATAAACAGCAGCTTGGCTTTCTAATTAGACACTAACATATAAAAAGCACCACTTGGATAAGTAGCAATACTGCTGCATGTAAAGTTATACACCAAAATGCACGAGACAACATTAGCTACCCGTGTCGTATTTTAGCACTCGGGCTAAACACAAAGCAAATCGAAAACGCCTATTTTGATTGCGATAAACGCGTATTTAATCAAAACATGTAAAAGATAATTGTTCTGGTGTTTATCGTGAAATGTTTCCTTACGTTAAATCTCCGGTAAAACTCACATGTTGTTCAGCAACACGCCATGATCACAACCCGGAAGAATAACTCAAAAGGGTGTTTCATTCTTTGTCCAATCACAGACAAGAAAGAATGATTGACATTATCTTAAGCCAATGAGTAGTCGTTTTAGACGCTTACTTCGAGTGACATAAGTTTGGACCAATGGTAACACACTTCTGGGTTACTGAGAGTAGGCGGGACTTCCTGGCGAATATAGCTTTGCGGCCTCTGCTGAAGGGCACCCGTCTCATTCTGCTAGCACAGGGGTCGAGTGGTAAAAGGTAAGTCGAAACACATTTAGAAACAAATACGCTTATTCATTTTGATTTTTACAAATGTCGAGTAAGCCTCATTTTATTTTTAAAATGCCCACGTGACAATGTGGTATTTAACTGTAGTTAGCGGGCTGAATATTAAACTAGCTAGCAGGCAGGCTAACGGAGGAAGCTAACGTCAACCTAGTACAGTGTGTGCTAGCTAGCTGTGCAGTCTGACCGATGAAAGCCAGTCTGAATGAAATGCCCGCTGTGAGTGCACTTGTCAACCACACTGTTTTTAAATTTTAGTGTGTTAATCTGATAAGTAAAAGGTTGCAAAAGTAAAAAGTTAAAAAGCATGTTCTCGGCGTGTTGACATTAGATATAATTGAAGTAACTTTAGCATGTCAAACCAACCTCCATTGAAGTTGCATACTCTTATGTAATAACACCAGCAACTTGACGTTAGTTTGTAATTGTAGGGAAGTTGTTTTTTGTGTGTGTTGAGGGCCAACATTAAAATATGAAAATTCTGAAGAGCTTTCATGAAGAGATTTTACCAATGCACTTGAGTTTCTGGTTTCTGCAAGAGTTGTCAACACCGTGCAATGATTAGGTTTTATGACTAACACAAACGCCAAGGTCCTCTAAGTGTTCACACTAAGGATTTTTGTCATGATTGAAATCTGCTTATTATTGTTTTCTCCATTAATCATGTGATCTGTAAAATATCAGTGGCACAGGGCTTAAACCAATCGACCAATCATTTCAACGCCACACTTTTTGTCCACAAGGTCAAGGATGAACTTGAATATATATTTCATCATTCTATTAATAATCATTTAATTAGTCACCTGTTATTCTCCTTGTTACAGGACCATTAAAATCCATCATGGGAGGACACGACGCCGGAAGCCACCAGTTCACTGGGATTGCCAAACACTTCAATTCATACACAATCCTTGGAAGGAGAAATGTAATGTGTTTGCAGCTTAACTAGAAATGAACTGCATTTTAATACTGTCAAGCAGGCTAAAACTGACATGCATCTTTTTTTCTCTTTAGTGTGTATTGGCCACATATGCGACCCTACTAGCTATTGGCATTTATGTCAAATTCAAGCCCAAGAAGCAGCCTGCTGTCACAGAAAAGTGATCATGTGAGTGCAGTAGAGTCTCCATCCTTTTAACCATTATACTTTAGGAAAGTATTGCTCCATTCATTTAACCCAAGCTCCTTATTGTCTCCTTACAGGCGCTCATTTTGACCATCATTTCTAACAGCTGGGAGAGGAGAAAGCTGCTGGACATGCTTGTAAAAATATGACTGTTTGGTTTCCCTATGTTAACAATAAAGAACATTTATGTCCAAAACATAGAAAACATGTTTGTTTTATTTACAGTGTATGGCAATATAAAATAGTATGACACAGAAATGTCAGCCACATGTTGAGCAAAGCTGTACTCATGGCAGTAATTAAAAAAAAAAAAAAAAAAAACAGGTCCTCAATCAACAGTGGCACTTTTCATCGCGAGGGGATATCAGCGATAGATCAGCTTAATTTGTGACCCAAATCTGTGCGACTGAGAGCCAGAACAGAAGTCAACTAACTAAATATTTATCTTCATTCACAGCTAGAGTCCCACCAGAGGTGATTTGTTGGTAATACAGTTGTGTTCTTCCAACTGCACGGCAAACCTCTTCAGTTACTTGTGGAGCTTGGGGATCAGACGCTTCATTTCAAGCTTCTGTAAATTATTTTCTAATCATTCAGTATAGTCTCATGGATTATAGGCCCCAGCAGCCAGCAGCAGGTTCCTGCGGGTGAAGTGAAGGTGTATGACAGGTGTGGATTTAGACAAGTAGGTGCCCAAAATAAGCTCCTGGGAGTTATCTTGTAGATGGATGTGTCCTGTAGCTGCTGTGAAATCATCAGTCTCTAAATCATCAAATGCTTTCGTAGCATCCCACAGACGAACTGTGTTGTCCATGGAGCCTAGGAAAACAAAAGAAATCATTGTCATTGAAAGTGAAACTGCAGAAACTCCACTCAGACCTTCACGGTATAGGGTGAATTATTCCTTTAAGAGATGTTGTAGGTCACCCACCAGATGCAAGGATCTCTCCGTCTCTGCTGAACCGGAGTGAGTAGATGGTATCTGTGTGGCCTTTCAGCTCTCCAATCATCAGCCCATGCCCAATATCCCACAGAAGAACTCTGCCATCAGTGGCTCCTGAAGCCAAGAACTTCCCATTGGGAGAGAAAGCCAACGCATGTATAGGACCCTGAAAGGTAAGAGTTAAAAGACCTGCTCAGTTGTGGTTTCTGCAGCAGTCAGTTAGTATGTTAACATGCACAGTTAAGTGGAGCTATGGTTATAGCTATTTTGAAGTTTGAGTTTGTAAATGCTTATTTCCATTACTTTAGACAACACATTTGCATTATTAGGCCCTACTGCTGACAGATCAGGGGGGCACTGCTCTAGTAACTCGTCTGACCTTGTGACCAGTGAAGATCCGGACACAGTTTCCGTTCAGGACGTCCCAAAGTCTTATGGTGCGATCAGAAGACCCTGTGGCCACATAATTGGAGTTGGGGTGGAAGCGGGTGCAGGTGACATCAGCTAGGTGACCAGAAAAAATCCTCAGAGGTTGGTAGTGATCTGTTGCCCACAGACTGTTGGAGGAAGCATAACAGAGAACAGTGACAGACATCTGTAGACAGGGCTGTGCTGTGTATTGCTCTGTGTCACAGAAAAATTCTGAAAGACAATTTCTTACCGAGCAACTCTGTCGTGTCCCCCGGAGACAAAATAGTACCCATGGGGGGAAAAGTGGGTGTCCCACACTGGGTAGTTGTGACCTTTGTAGCCCACCAGACAAGTAAATGTTTGGAGACTCCATAGCCGGACTGTACCATCTTCTGAACTCGACAACAGGTAGTTTCTGAAAGGGAGAGCAAAGAGGTATGTTTAAACTGTTAACATGAGTGCACTGACTGACAGTAATAAAGTAGGCCTTAAAATCAACAATGAATTGATTCATACCTGTCTGGGCTGAAGCTGATGCCATAAACCGGTCCACTGTGTCCATGGAGGATCTTTGACTCGCTGGCCGTCTTCTCATCCATGATCCTCTCCAGCACATCGTCTGACTCTTTATCAATCAGATTCAAGTCTTGAGGGAAGGAAGAGGGAAAAAAAGTTACTAGTGTTACAGAATGTCAGGAAAACATTAATCGAGTTCAGGGCGGTCAGACTCATACACTGTACCTGCTGCAGACTTGACCTTGCGGAGCTTTTTCGGTGTGACACTCCACACCCGCACTGTGGAGTCAGCGAAGCCTCCTGCGATCAGGCTGGAGTCATCTGTGAAGTCAACTGCAGTTAGACCCTGCAGGGTGAAAGGTGAGAATAATTAGAAATGATTCTCCTGTAGTTTACCGTTAACTGACCACACTCTGCCACTTCATTAAAGGGACAGTTTGGATTTTTTGAAGTGGAGTTGTATGAGGCGCTTATCTAGAGTCAGTGTATAACCTACAGTAGATGGCAGTCAGCATGTCCCGTTTGGAGAAGCAGACAGGGGTACCAACACAGAAGCTTAGCAAGGTACTGCTGTGAACATGGGTGGTAGTAAAATGTATTTTAGCCATAATTAAAAAAAAGTGTATACTATACTTTTGATATTTTATCCTCTTTACCTTGCTGTCAGGCAGCCCTCTCTGATAGGAATCTGAAGCTGTTATCCATGCCTTCTTAAAAGCCACCAGACTCCTTTGACAAAAGCGGTAATTTTGCCTAGCTGAACACTGAAGCTGCTGGTCTACCGCTGCCTCCATTGATTAAGTTTGTTTGTGTTATTGTGGGACTTTAATGTATTAAAGGATTAGTTCAGATTCACCAAAGTCACACAACAACATAAACTACTCATATGTTCTGGGAGGTAAAATCAGTGATTTTGTCAGAGAAGTCTGGTGGCTTTGAAGAGAGCATAGAGAACAGCTTCAGTTCCCCGTGAGAGAGGGCTGTCAAACGTTAACGCAAAGCAGTGAAAATATTCTAAATATAGCGTACACTAGCTATATAAAAAAACATTTCAGGTAGCTAAAATACATTTTGGTGCTGCCCCCATTCACAGCAGTACATCTCTTAGCGTCTGTGGCAGTACTTCTGCCACTAAGTGGGGGCATGCGGACTCCCATTTACTGCAGGTAATACACTGACTATGGATAAGTACGTCATACAACCCCACTTCAAAAGATCTGAACTCTCTCTTTAAATGTGTTAACATTTCAGCTACACAGTGATTGCTGTGGTTGTGAGTAATTACCTGGTAAGCATTCAGAAATGTGTAGAAGCAGATGGAGGGCAGGTTATCAGGTCCCAGGCGGATCCTCTTGGTGGCCTCCTTCATGTACATGATCTTGTCCAGCTTGTCTGAATCTTTTAGTTCTGGAAGAGGTATCCTGAACAACAAGAAACACACGCCAACTGTCACTGAGTGCTGGGTCCACATACAGTGTCAGGACTTTAAAAAAGAGGTTGAAAGTAAATGAATGCAAATATGACAATGTGTCTCTTTTAAACACTGGAATATATCGAGGCTTAGGCACTATAAACTGTCTTGTACTGTGTGTGGATAAATCATATCCAGCTCCCTCAGAATTAAACTTCTGAATTCATGCATTAATTTTTAGATAAATTGTCCCCTAACCGCTGCAGCTAACATGTTGTGGCTGTTAAGAGCTACAGTCAGGTCCATAATTATTTGGACAATGATACAGTTGTCGTCATTTTGGCTCTGTACACCACCACAATGGGTTTTAAATGAAACAATGAATACCTGCTTAAAGTGCAGACTCTCAGCTTTCATTTAAGGCTTTTTTCAAAAATGTAGTATGAACCGTGTAGGAATGACAACCATTTCTTCACACAGTCCCCCTACTTTAAGGGCTCATAAGTATTTGGACAAACTAACATAATCATCAATTAAACAGTCAGTTTTAATACTTGGTTGCAAATCCTTTACAGTCAATGATTGCCTGAAGTGTTGGACACATAGACATCATCAGATGCTGGGTTTCTTCCCTGGTGATGCTCTGCCAGCCCTTTACTGTAGCCGTCTTCACTTCCTGCTTGTGTTTTGGGTGTTTTGCCCTCAGTTTTGGCTTCAGCAAGAGAAACGCATGCTCAGTTGGATTCAGGTCAGATGATATGACTTGGCCATTGCATAACATTCCACTTCTTTGCCTTAAAAATGTCTTTGGTTGCTTTTGCAGTATGCTTCAGGTCATTGTCCAACTGCACTGTGAAGCATCGTCCAATGAGTTTTGAAACATTTGGTTGAATCTGAGCTGATAATGTTGCCCCAAACACTTCAGCTTTCATCCTGCTGCTCTTGTCAGCAGTCACATCATCAATAAATACAAGAGAACCAGTTCCACTGGCAGCCATACATGGCCATGACATAACAGTACCTCCACCATGCTTCACTGATGAGGTGGTGTGCTTTGGATCATGAGCAGTTCCTTCCCTTCTTCCTTCTCTTCTCTTCCCATCATTCTGGTAGTTGATCTTTGTTTTATCTGTCCATAGTATGCTGTTCCACAACTGTACAGGCTTTTTAGATGGTTTTTGACAAACTCTAATCTGGCCTTCCATTTTTAAGGCTAACCAATGGTTTGCATCTTGTGATAAACCCTCTGTATTTATTCTAGTGAAGTCTTGTCTTGCTTACAAGAGCATCAGGATGAATTCTGAAGTGTTTGGGGCTACATTATCTGCTCAGATTCAACCAAATGCTTCAAAACTCATTGGATGATGCTTCACAGTGCAGTTGGACAATGACCTGAAGCATATTGCAAAAGCAACCTAAGACATTTTTAAGGCAAAGAAGTGGAATGTTGTGCAATGGCCAAGTCATATCATCTGACCTGAATCCAACTGAGCATGCGTTTCTCTTGCTGAAGCCAAAACTGAGGGCAAAACACCCAAAACACAAGCAGGAAGTGTAGACGGCTACAGTAAAGGGCTGGCAGAGCATCACCAGGGAAGAAACCCAGCATCTGATGATGCCTATGTGTCCAACACTTCAGGCAGTCATTGACTGTAAAGGATTTGCAACCAAGTATTAAAACTGACTGTTTAATTGATGATTATGTTAGTTTGTCCAAATACTTATGAGCCCTTAAAGTTGGGGGACTGTGTGAAGAAATGGTTGTCATTCCTACACGGTTCATACTACATTTTTGAAAAAAGCCTTAAATGAAAGCTGAGAGTCTGCACTTTAAGCAGGTATTCATTGTTTCATTTAAAACCCATTGTGGTGGTGTACAGAGCCAAAATGACTACAACTGTATCATTGTCCAAATAATTATGGACCTGACTGTATATACTGGTGTATTAAAAATCTCTACCTTGTCTGTGAAGGTGCATTAGGATCCTGCTTCTTGCTCTTGGAGCCCATGCTGTCCTTCTTAGGTTTCTTCTTCTTGGGTTTACCCTCCTCATTCTCGGCCTCCTCATCCTCATCATCAAGAGGCAGCTCAATTTCTGGTTCCTTCAGCAGTCCATAATAAACCTGAGTGAATGATAATGAAACAAGAACATGTTGTGAATTCAACAACTGCTTGGGAAGACAAAGAAAACAAAGACGTCATCATATACGTGTGCTGGTGTGTAAATCCAACCTTAGCCTTATTGGCCTCTCGCTTGGCCTCTCCCGCCAAACTGCCAGACATGGCGTCGATCTGGCTCTTGCTGCGCGGCATGCCATCTAAGATGTCAATGTAGAGGTGCTCTTGGATGATATTCCAGATCTGGTTGTTCTGACGCTCCTGCAGGTGCCTCTTCAGCAGCTGGTAGGAGTCACGGGAGATACGCAAGACGAACTTGCTGGTACGGAAGTCCAGCAGGGTCTCGTTGCCTCTCATGTGCTCCCTCTTGGACAGGCTGGACAGAACGCGCAAGTCGTCTTCGTAGTAACACTCTTGATCGCCGCTGAACCTGAGATGGAGAGAAATGAAAGACATAGGGTTTATCAACTGTGCGGGATTTAATGCTACTTAAAACAAAATAGGGTTATCAGTTTTCAGTTGGAGGGACAAACCATATGTGAAGGGAACTCACTTTTCAAAGAACGCCTTGGCCTCACTTTCATGATTGTTGTACACCAGTTCCAGATACATGTGTACAAACAGTGGGTAGAAGACCTGGGACAGCTCCGCTCGGTGACAGTCCAAGACCGACTCTATGAACTTCTTCAGGCCGCTGTAGTAAACCTGGTACAGCGCCGGGTCTCCCTGCTGGCTGTAAGCTGACAGCACCACGTTGACATCTGGCTGATCCTCCCCAACAGCTGATGAAGAAGAAGTGAGGGTGAGATGTGCATGCTGTTGGTATTGGCCAACTACATTACAGCTTTTAAAAACAATATCATATTTGACTTGAAATGAACTGTTATTTAGGTGAAAAATAAAAATACCATGGCTTTATAAGATGACTTTTAAACATGGGAGATGACATGATGACATCTGAGCCAGCTTCGTAACTACTAAGAAAACTTAAACTGTTAACTGTGTGAAAAAGCTATGACGTGGGGTATTGTGTCAGATTTTCTTGACATAATTATGACATGCATGACAGTTGGTTTTGAACCTTCACTTGCGATTACACTTAAGCTTAATCATCTGAATGGGAAAATATTGCTTAGCTTAATTTAATATGAGGAAGTAACAAAAAAAGATACAAATGGAGGTTAAGAAAATGCATGTTTAAAAAATAGAGTAATAAATTAAATATTTTGTTGTTTGTTAATCCCACCCTTGAGGCCACTTTCCTTAAATTATAAACGGCAATTTTGTGTTGTGAATAATGAATGTAAGAAGGTAACTATTCTATATTTCACATCCATTTTTACCCTCTGTTATTTAATTCAGATGCATTTTTATCACCTCCATTTTTCAATTCATTTTGATACCTCTGCTTCTCATAAAAAAAATAAAATAATAATAAATAAAAATAAATAAATAAAAACATCTCTCAAGTCAGGGGAAATTTGTGAGCACATCAGTAACTGCACTCAATAAACAAAAACATAAAAACCCACACATCCTTGTAACACATACTCCCTTTGTTAAAGTTTTTACTAACTTTTATCACCATATTGTAATTTGTGTTTTTCCTGGTTATAAAGAGTACGATTGTAATATCTCTATGGTAATAAAGGTATTAGTTATCCATGTTGGGAAACACTTAGGTGATGTCATATTAACAGAAAACAGTTTGTATTAATGATGAAACAGTGTTTCACATAGTAAAAACAGCAGCTAAGTTCTGTATCAGACCTTTAGTTGGCGCCTGGGCTACAGCGGAGGATGAGCTGGTCACCCGGCTCAGAAGAGAGCTCGTATCCCCGCCACTTTCCACGTCCACGCTGCCCGCAGAAGCCCCGGAGCCTGCCCCGGAGGAGTCACCCCCCTTCAGGTCCAGTGAGTCCTCCGGTAATCCCGCTTCACGACGCAGAATTTCGACGGACTCGGTCAGTTTGTTCTTTTTGAGGAATTGCAGGACAGCCAGCAGCGTCTGCTGCTCCTCCGGGGATTTGTTACCCCCAGCCGGAGCACTGGAGCCCGGGGACGTAGAGAGCAACCTTCCCTCGTTTGCATTATTATTTCCACAGCCGTCGTTTGCTGGTTCTGTTTTTATGTCTTTTTCTTCAGCCGCGTCGACCATACCACCCTGTACGGCCGCCATTTTAGAAATGAAGTGCGCATGTGCTTGGTTTAAAAACGGAAAACACTGAGTTTGTGAGATCGAGTCACCTGATTGGTGCTTATCGATGCTTCGTCATCATGTGTAGAGCGGAAGTCCCGCGTCCCTCTCGCCAGCATCTGTATCTCAATCAGACTGTCAATTATAGATTTTAATAAGCTGTAAATATGGTTCACATTTAACTTACTGAAACTGGTCTATTGGTAAATTGGACTATATATAAATTTATAACTTATAATTTTTTCTTCAGAAGGTTAAATTTTGCTGCAATAGTTCTCAGATATTAGCATATCTACCATGCACGACTATTGCACTTGTTGTCATTTTAATTTCCCATTTAAGCCCATGTAAACTGTATGAATTTGAGCAGTAATTATCATTCTTATTTAAGAAGTGAAAACCTCATGTTTTTACATAACTATGTGTCTTTTTAAAAGAGGATTCTCTCATTTATAATTAGAGATGTACCCTTTTGTACCAGGTGGTGGCACTTTGGTCCCACACAACCCATGCCAACCAGTTGAACACCTTGGTCAAATGTGACGAAAAACAGAGCTGCAACAAAAGATTATTTTAATTCTCCATGAATTCAATGATAATTTTCTCTGAAAATATCCATCACACGTCCCCAGAGCCCATGGTGATGTCATCTTATGTGTTGTTTTGTCCCACCAATAGTTAAAAAACCCAAAGCTATTCAGTTTACTATTAAAGAGGAGCAAGGAAACCAGAAAATAGTCACATTTGAGAAGCTGAAACCAGTGAATTTATGCTATATTTTAATTTTAGAAACAAATAACCTTCCACCCTGTCATGCTTTTAAGACAAAGCCTTCTTTGCTCCACATCTAATAGGATTTTAAAACAATGCATTGCCTTATAGAAATACTTAATAGCATAAAATGTTATGCATAATGTACAGGTTTACTAAATATTGTGGTCTTTACAAACATTGATTCAACTTTGTGTCTTGCTAGGCGGGATTGTTTAAATGTTTTATACATGACTTGTAGGAGTGAGGGAGAACACATGAAAGCTAGACAGTACATACAAGTATCAGCCATTCTCACTTTGCATTTTGCTGAGGCTGGATTTCTGCCTGTAACACACCTTCTTTCCTCTCTGAACACTAAACTCCCTGTCAGAGACACACTCATATACCGCTGACTGTGCATCCTTCGGGCGATCTGTTTTCATTTCTGAGTGTCTGTCAGTAGAAAATTGGAACTTAATAGCATTTCATTTTATTTTTATTTTTTCACACAGTGCGTGAGCCATGTTTAGTCCCTGGCAGCATTTCTCAATCATTTCAGATCTCTTCTATACAGGACTTTGCTCCAGATCTGTACTAATTGTAGCACCTCATGATATTTTGTACAATAATGTTAGATAACACACTTTAAAATCTACATCTTAACCTATTACCAACCTATTTCTCGTCAAGCTCAGATGCAATTGTAGGAGCTGCTCTCTCCTTACCCAGCTTATCCACACTGGAAATGGTGAGTGAGATAACTCAGCAGCAGGTTTAACATGCAGACTAAGGTCCATGGTGAGGGGTGGGACAAAAGAAGGAGAAGGGTTCACGGCAGAAGCAGCAAGGCGTTGTATAACACTGCGGTGGCGTAGCTCCGTGTGGAGGAGCGATGGGGGTGGGGTGGGATAGGTTCGTGGGTGTAGGAGACAAACATCAGCAGCTCAGGGTGTGGTCACCAGCGCAGGCTCATTGTAAGGCTGCTAATTAAGGACTGAGGGTACATGCCTCCTTGTGGTGTCACTGAATGACAAAATGTGGTGTAACACTAAGATCAGCAGTTTGACTGCACATGGTTGTCATGGCTCTTCTTGCACTTACCTTGTAGATATGCAGATGACCAGGGCTGAAACATGTGTGTCAGGCTCCAGGTTATTGATTCAAAATCTATAAGTGTTCACTTAATGTAGTGATTTACATAAAGCCTGCTGTGCTGCACCGAATGACTGCAATGTCCAGCACCTGCTCCACCATAAAGGTGCTTTTATTTTGAAATGATAGAATGATGAAAGATAGAGACAGAGAGAGCAGTCTCCTGGAGCTGCTTTAATGCTTCATGGCAGCTCAGCAGCGTTGACTTTGATTTAAAATAAAGCTGAGTGATTACATGCAGCAGCCAGCCGCTACTCCAGGGCTGATTTGTGTAGAAAAGAGACTTGAAGATTTTGAGGCACTGCTGCTTTATTAGTTACTTTATATTTTTACTCCACTACATTTGAGGGGGAAATATTGTACTGTTTTACTTCACTATATGTCTGATGAATGCAGCCATATGACTTCATGTATAAGATCATGAAAAGTGGGGAATTCAGTGTCACTTGGATCATCTAATATTATAATACTGCTTATACAATAGGGCACTCTTAAAGGGACTGTTCTTCAAAAGCCTTTTAACAGAGTATTTCTGCATCTATTGCTACTTTCACTTGAGTGGGCTACATTTGATTTCTTCCGCTCGTGTTAAGCCAATCTAGACATCAGGATACCTTTAAGGAATACTTCATCCACAACATGACCATTTGTATATAAATTATTCATGCCATGTTAACTTGAATTTATGATGACTACTTTGTTTGTCTCACAAGCCTCCATGGAAAATTAAGAATATACAGATTTACTGATTGATTGGAGGCCACATTTAACAACAGTAAAACTATATTAAAACATTGTTTACACACTCTCAAACAACCTGAGCAGTATAATCCAAGTCTTATTTATCCACTTCTAGCTCAGTACTCCACGAACACATAAAATTTTGACTAAAAGAGTTCACTTACTTAAAACTGAACTGAAAATTAAACTTATCTCTGCTCTCTTCAAAGCCAGATTCCAATACTGAGGGGTTTTTTTTAGTGAAAATGCATGTTTTAGGAAGCACTGAGCATATGACTGGATAAATGAGACTTGGATCATACTAGGTTATACTTGAATCTGTACACAGGTGTTTTGATATAGTTTTGCTGTTGTTAAATATGCCCTCAAAGGAATCAATAAATCATTATACTTGCCATTTTCCATGGAGGCATGCAAGAAAAACAAAGTTTTGGTTAAAGTTTTCCTTTAAGCAATTGGAAATGCGGCAGATGTCCATAGAGACGTTGGACTCTTACATCATAAAATTAAATTACGGCTGGGGTGAAAATCTGGTTGACAATAATTTAAATGTCTAACATTAGAATTTCATGTTGTGTGGCTGTTAATATTATGACGATATGCAGATGTTGGGTTTTGTTCTCCATACCGTGCGACTAAATGTCATTTTTCTACATCAAGACGTTTGGAAGACTTATGATTTGGTAAGTTAACAACGCAATTTAAAACCAACAAAATATCAACATTATCAGTCGTCAGTATTTTTTGACAAATTTACTCTGGCATTAGACGTTATCCTGACATTGAATTTTGATTACCTGACGTCACAGCCTAAATTCAATGAAATATCAAAATCCAGCAACGTTGGTGGCCGGCTGGGAACATTATATGGTGAAATTAGATATCATTACATACAGTCATAACCCAGAAGTCTGGTATTTTTGTCAAAAATCAAGTTAATTTTTCACTTTTATTTGGGGAAACATTCTTGTGCAAACATTAATATCTTCTCAGGAAAGGAACTCTTACTGTTACTTGTTTCTCACGTGCACTTTTACCAGATGTTTATGGATTCTAACTGACCTTTACCTTCACAAAACCCACTTCTGTAATCTTTTGTCATCTGTGTTTCCCCCCAGTTTGGTGTGTGTTCCTATAATTAGTGTATGTAAAGCTGCTCACACACTTCTCACAGTAGCGATAACATGTGTGAGGTGGGGAGAGACGCATGTTCAGTTGTTTGCTCCTTTCACACCTCAGTGATGACTTTGCTCAGTTCCTCCCTGTGTGTGTGCAGAAGCTGGAGAACTCTCCCACCAACCCCCCATCTCTCACTGTGTGTGTGTGTGTGTGTGTGTGTGTGTGTGTGTGTGTGTGTCAGGAGGCAGCAGGGTGTGGCATCACCCAGCAGAGACAGATCTGTAGGAGCACACAAAGACCAAAGAAAGAAAAAGATCTGCACTTACACCTCTGAAATTCATATTGCTGTGGAGCCACAACACACTGTTTGTAATTCAAACATTAGAAAATCAGTTATGCATGTTTGAGCATCATAAAATGTTCCCGCTTGTGTCATCGTCATGTCAACTGCTGCCGTTCCTGTACCTGTTATAAGAGCTCACAATCACAGGGTGCTAACCATTCTAGCGCTGCTAACCACGGACATGCATGATTTAAATTAAAAGGCTTTTGCTTTGCGTTTACTCAGTTAATGCGTTTGAGAAGAAGATGCGCCGTTATGGATGCCCTCTCAAGCTGTTCTGCTTATGTGCCAGTAAAAATGTCCTCTGATGAGATTGGAGGGAAGGTTTACAGCAAATGTGTTAATTGGTATTGGTGGCATCAACCCAAGTGTGAAGGAAAATGAGCAGCAAATAATAATTCTAGATGTTGGATTAATATAACTTTGATATCAATTTTACTATCGTCTGAGGCATATGCTGTAAAAAGAAAAAAAAAGAAAAAAGGCTATTATTGAAAAGGCTTTATGTTGCAGGAAAGTGTGTATGTGCATGTTTGTGTGTGAGGCAGCAGAGAGTGATGTAGTCCTGGGAGCGCAGAATGGGGCGTGGCAGATTCTAGTCGCTTTCAGTGTTTTTATGTTTTAATGCATGCTTGTGTAGGGTAGGTTTTTTCCCAGCTGTGAGAAATGGTGCAGTTGAGCTGCCTCTGCTGATTACTTGAAATAAATTCACTGTCTCCATCAGATGATTACTCCTTCCAAAGGGCCTAATCTTCTTTGAAAAAAGAACTGACAGGACATTGTCATAAATTGTCCAGCCCTGGATGCCCTCTTCTACATCTTTCAACACTCAAATGATGCTTCCCCAGCATGCTGTCCGTCTGCCCTTATGTTA